CTGAACTTGTTTATCCCTGGGGTTGATTATCCATGGAAAATCTGATAGGTTTTTTATATTATTTCCTCTCTGTCTTTTTTCTCTCTCTGTTTCTCTATCTCTCTCTCTCCTCCTGCTCCTCTCCTGTCTTCTCCTTTCCTCTCCTCCTCTCCTTCCTCTCTTGCTTTTCATTATCTCCTCTTCTTGTCTCTCTCTCTCTCTCTCAATTTTCATAAAGCGCTTCTAAATAAAATCTGATGGATTTGAAACTTGAAGTTTTTGCTTTTCCTCCTCCTCCTCTATCTGTCTTTCTTTCTATATATCTTCTCACAACCCTCCAGCACAACCCTCCAGCACAACCCTCCAGCACAACCCTCCAGCACAACCCTCCAGCACAACCCTGCAGCACAACCCCTCAGCACAACCTCTTGAGGTTTATTATCGTCGGCAGTTTTTTATCATCGGCAATGGTCCATAGCAACTCCTGAGCTCTCCGGGAACACGGCGGCACGCAAATGATACGCATGTGTTTGAAAAACTTCATTTTGAACAAAAATATATTTCATTTAATTGCGAATTCCATTGAAATCTTTTCGAATTTGCGAAATCGAGCCGCCAGGCGCTTGAATGCCGCACTGCGTTCGAGATTTAGGCGAAAGCGTGTGCGACGCAATTTTCTCATGACACGCATTTTTTTTGAAAAACCTTATTTTGACAACAAATACTATATTTGGTTGCGAATTCCATTGAAATCCTTTCGAAATTGCAAATTCGAACCCGCACGCGCCTGAATGCCACACTGCGTTCGATATTCGGGCAAAAGCGCGTGCGACGCAAATTTCTCATAAATGCGTCGCGTGCTTAAATCTCGAACGCAATGTGGCATTCAAGCGCCTGACGGCTCGATTTCGCAATTTTGAAAGGATTACAATGGAATTCTCAATTTAAAAAAATGTTTTTTACAAAAAAAATGAAGTTTTTCAAAAAATGCGTATCATTTGCGTTTCAAAAAATGCGTATCAAAAGTTGCGATTTACCACTGCCGATGATAAAAAACTGCCGACGATAATAAACCTCAGCCGATGATAAAAAAACTGCCGACGATAATAAACCTCAGAGGAGCGCACGGCGGGAGAGAGAGAGAGAGAGAGTCTCACCTCTCTCTCTCTCTCTCTCCCTCCCTCCCTCCCTCTCTCCTCTTTCTCTCACCATCTCTCTCTGCTCAAGGTGAGCTGCTGAAGCAGAGCTGCTCAAGCAGATGGCTGCTCAGAGAGCAGAACCAGACAATGAGACCTTCGAGAATAAAAAACACAATTATTTCGAGGATGTCTCAAGCGAAATAAGCAATAGTTCGACGGTGTCTCAAGCGAAATAAACAATAGTTTCAGGATGTCTCAAGCGAAATACGCAATAGTTTCAGGATGATCAGGCGAAATCAGCAATAGTTTGATGATGCTTCAAGCGAAAAACACAATTATTTCGAGGATGTCTCAAGCGAAATAAGCAATAGTTTGACGGTGTCTCAAGCGAAATAAGCAATAGTTTGTGGATGTCTCAAGCGAAACAAGGGATTTGTCGAGGATGTCTCCAGCGAGATAAGCCATTGTTGAGGATATTTCAATGAAGACTAAACGCCAAGGATGTCTCAAACCGTGCTCGGTTTGGTCTCCTCTTGATCATCTCTTACTTCGAGATTATGCTGCTGGTGGGCTACTTTGATTATCTCCCCCTGAACCCCGAACTTTATTATCCCCTAGTGTTTACTATCGTGAGCATGGGGTTATGTGTGCCACTGCCTGTGACACACATTGTGTACAAATGCGCGTCCAACACACGTACGTACACGTACGCACACATGTTGAACATCGCCGGCGCAAAGTCTCCTCAGGCACGGACAGCAGATGAAGGTGCTAGCTGCAACCGAACATTGTCGATAGCGCGGCGCACTGCAAACATGATACATATATCCGCCGATCCGGCGTGTGAGTTCCTGAGAGCGTGGGCTTGCGCTCGCTCAAGCTTCGCTCTGGCGAGGGGGGGGGGGCTGACGCGAGCTGACGTTTCTCCGGCCCCAGGACCCGGGACCCGCGGCCGGCGCGGGACCCGAGACCCGGGACCGGCGCGGGACCCGGGACCCGGCACCCGGGATCGTCCCGGGACCCGACCGGCGCGAGACCCGGGACCAGCAACCCGGGACCGGCTCGAGCGGAACCCGGGACTCGGCTGGGACGACCGCCGTGGGACCCGGGACCCAGAACCGGCGCGAGCCCCAGGACCCGGCACCGGCGCGGGACCCGCTCTGGCGAGGGGGGGGGCTCACGCGAGCTGATCGACGCGGGCTGACGTTTTTCCGGCCCCGGGGGGGCCCGGGACCCGCGACCCGGGACCGGCGCGGGACCGGCCGAGACCTGGGACCGGCGCGGGATCCGGGACCCGGGACCCGGGATCGTCCCGGGACCCGACCGGCGCGAGACCTGGGACCCGCGACCCGGGACCGGAGCGGAACCCGGGACCCGGCCGGGACGATCGCCGGACCCGGGACCCGGGACGGGCGCAGGACCCGGGACCCAGAACCGGCGCGAGCCCCAGGACCCGGCACCGGCGCGGGACCCGCTCTGGCGAGGGGGGGGGTGGGGCTCACGCGAGCTGACGTGGGCTGACGTTTTTTCGGCCCGGGGGGGACCCGGGACCCGCGACCCGGGACCGGCGCGGGACCCGAGACCCGGGACCGGCGCGAGACCCGGGACCCGCGACCCGGGACCGGCTCGAGAGGAACCCTGGACCCGGCTGGGACGACCGCCGTGGGACCCGGGACCCGGGACGGGCGCAGGACCCGGGACCCGGAACCGGCGCGAGCCCCGGGACCCGGCACCGGCGCGGGACCTGGCTCTGGCGAGGGGGGGGGCGGGGTCACGCGAGCTGACGCGGGCTGACGTTTTTCGGGCCCTGGGACCCGGGACCCGCCACCCGGGACCGGCGCGGGACCCGAGACCCGGGACCGGCGCGGGACCCGGGACCCGGGACCCGGGATCGTCCCGGGACCCGACCGGCGCGAGACCCGGGACCCGCGACCCGGGACCAGAGCGGAACCCGGGACCCGGCTGGGACGACCGCCGTGGAACCCGGGACCCGGGACGGGCGCAGTACCCGGGACCCGAAACTGGCGCGAGCCCCGGGACCCGGCACCGGCGCGGAACCCGGGATCTGGGACGAGCGCGGACCCGGAACCCGGGACCGGCACGAGACCCGGGACCAGCGCGGGACCCGGGACCCGGACCTGGGAGTGACGCGGAACCCGGAACTCAAACCGGCGCGAAACCCGGGACCGGCGCATGCAGGACCTCCGGCGCAGGATCTGGGACCCGGGACGAGCGCGGAACCCGGGGCCCGGGACATGGGACCGGCGCGGCACCCGGGACCCGGGACTGGCGCGGGATCCAGAACCTGCGACCCGGGAACAGCGCGGGACCCGGGACCCCGGACCGGCGCGGGACCCGGCACCCGGAACCTCCCAGAGGCCCACGACCTTCAGAAACGTACGGGTTTGTTTTCATTTGTGTTTGTTTTAAATAGATCTTGTCGGAATCAAGATAATAAATCTTGAATACAATGGTTTCTATCTTGATTCATTGGTTTTTCCTGTATAATTTAGATATAACATCTAGAATATATTTTTAAAATATAATGTATCTACAATATCTAAGAGGAGGAGGGGGAGGAGGAGGAGTTACAGGGGGAGTGAAAGCAGGAGCTGTAGGAGGCCGGGGAGGAGGAGTAGGGGGGCAGGCGGCGGCGTGCGAGCAGCACTTCTTGATTTTTTCCCGCGAGGCCTCACGCATCGTCAAACATCTAATGCAGCCATTTGAAGAGAGCGGTCTGGCAAACAGTCGCAGGATGTGCTGTCTCAGCCACCTCTGTAATCAATCCAACGAGGTCTTCGTCGGCGTAGCACCAGTAGTACCTAGGATTCCCTAGATATATACATTGCTCCTCTGCGAGGTGCTCCCAAAGATGGAGCTTGGGTGACATCTTCCACATCCTTATGTTAGCTGCCCACGCTTCACGAGCTAGATCTGAATACAATTGAGCCAGCATCTGGCCTAATTGTGGAAGCTCGGCCTTCACCGAATCGCTGTGGAACTGCGACTCTGAATACAGTATGTCGTAAAACGGCACAACAACTGAACAACTGCGAGCACCTTGGCGTCCGCAATCGTACCAAACTCTAGCATCAATGCAAGCGCATATCTGGAGAAGGCGACCCACTCCATCGGGCATGCCCATTTGGGAAACCCAAGCAATTTGCACAAGCCTCGAAAGATGTGCTGCGGGCGATCGCCTTGAGCACCGAGGTTCGCTGCTCTCTCTACGCCTTCTGCTCCTTGCTGGAGCGCTCTCAGTGCATATCGTTGGACCTGCTCCGATGTCAGTTTTCCTTTTGCCCAGTCAACCTTCAGATCGCGAAGGAGCGGCGCACTGCCACTCTCAGGCTGCGAAGAGGACGCTGCGTCAGAGTAGCGCAGCCTTGGCCGAACGCCCCCTCTCAAGGGCGGCTCGTGGTCATCAGCAGGCCCATCGCCATCTATGCCCAATCTCCTCTTAATGCCGACTGCATCGCATAGGGCTGCGCACAAACAGATCCAGAGCGCATGCATATGGAATCGCATGTGGACGCTTGAGCCAAAACGGCTGTAGGGAGGGAGCAGGGATGATAAGTATGGTGAAGCTTGTGGCGATACTTGCGATGGTGTTGGTAGTACTTCCAGGTATGGTGATGGAGGTGATGTTTGTGATGACAACGCATACGCTTATGATGACCATGCCAGTGACGATAATGGTGGCGGTGATGACGATGGCCCTGCAATGACCACGCAACTGGTTTAGGTAGCTTTGATGACGACGGCGATGGCGACGGTGACGGTGACGATGGTGATGGCAATGGCAATGGTAATGGTATTGATGATATTGATGATGTGTGTGGCGATGGTGATGCTTAAGGCTGAGCTCGACGATGTGTTTTTTCACGCTCATGCTTGTGTTGCGCATGTGTTCTAGCTACTCTCGGGGTGAATGCATGCTGCTTCCACCGCTGCGCGCCTTTCGACTCGAACTGGGAATCACGAATACAGCAATTGAATTCCGGGCTTGCGCTGATGGCAACTGCGCGCTGTCTAATTGCCCTTGGCCTTCCTCCTGCGCTTGGGGGCCTTCTCTTCCGTCAAGTTAAAACGAACTGCCCAGGTGGTGAGCTCATCGCACTGCTTGGCGAGCTGGTCCATGTTGGCGATGAGAGTGTGGATCTGGCTATCGTCTTTCACCTCCTCGGTGGCCATGCGGTCGAGGATCTTGGAAGTCTCGGTGGCCTTGGCAAGGTACTTGTGGATGTCGGACACGAGGCTGGCGTGGTACCTCGAAGTAGTCGGGTCCGTTGCGTTCTCGGATATGTTGATGATCTTCTTGGCCTCCAGTATGTTGTCCTGGATCTGGCGGAGACGCTGGGCAGCGTTCTCTTTCACGTGCGACACCCTCTGCGCCAGCTTCTGCATTTCGCTAAGCTCCTCCTTTGGCTCTTCCTTGATGCTGACAGCATCGGTGGTCTTGCCGAAGTTCTTCATCGCCTCGTGGTCTCCCTCCTCAGCGTCGCCTTGCGTCGTGAGCTGCATCTTCTTGATGTCCTCTTCTGTCAGCCTCTCCCAATCTGTCGGGACCCCCCATTCAAGGAAGCTCTCGTCCGTGGACCCTGTCAAGGGGTCTGGGCGGGAGCGTATTTTACCAGACGTGCGCCAGTGTTCGGCTTTGAGCGGGCCGAGAGCGGTGTCCATTTTCTCTTTGGACATCCAGGTCAAGTCCTTGAAGTTCGTTTTGCCAATTGTCTTCTCGTCGACGGTGTGCACCTTCTTGACGACCGAATTGTTGCGCAGTTGATGCACCACAAACTTCTCCAAGTAATTCCCCCTCTCAGAACCTCGAGAAGATCCGACCGAGGCGTTGATCTCGGGGTTACTCGTGATGAAGTTGACCAGACTGGCTGCCCTGGACCTCTTGTTCTTCTCGGACTCCTGCAGGATAGCTCGCGCATCTGCCAACTCCTCGCTCGTCGGTGAAAGCGCGGAGAGGTCGGCATTCGGCAGCTTGGGCGGCATCAGCCAAAGCCTTGCACACAGACTGTAGCGAGGTCAACGCCTGGGCAGGGCTTGAGACAGGCCTGAGCCAAAATGGTTACGAACATGGCAATGATGCATGAACTTATATCGCAAAGGCCAGGGGTGGTCAACAGGCACATCAAAGGTAAGTCAAAGGTCAGTCAAAGGTAAGTCAAAGGTGGCCATCTTTGACTTACCTCTGACTCACCTTTGACCTCGATAGATATCGAGTCAAAGGTGAGTCAGAAGTAAGTCAAAGGTGGCTACCTGTGACTTACCTTTGACTTGCAGTTCCCGGGCTTTCCGGGCATCGCGCCGCCTGGATCCGGATTGCCGTGTGTCGTATGTTTTACATGTTTGCTAACGGGCTTTCTTAGGGATCCAGAGCAGACAGACCACACGGGGACAAAATTGCCAGACCCACGAGCCTCCCCCCTCGGGCTTCGACGGGACTGGAGGGCGCAATCACCTGCAAACTCAATGAGATTTGTTTTCGATCGGACACTGCTTTTCTATGGGGGCCCGCAGGCCGCCCGCTACAAACTCCGTGAAATTTGTTGTTCGATCGGACACGTTTTTTCTATCGGAGCCCGCAGGCCTCCCGCTGGGGCCGCTGGGGCCCCAGCCCAGAACGACGACGGCCCCTCGGGGCCATGATGGCCCCGAGATGGCCATGATATTAGTACTGTTGATGATGATAGTGGTGTTGGTGGCAATGTTAGTATGGATTGGGATCGACGGATGCATTTTCCACGCTAGACCTTGTTTTGTCGAGCTGGTTGCTGCTGCTAGACTATCTGGGCGCTCCCGCCCCTGCACGCAGACTTCAGCAACAAATACGATGCCTAATCCTTGAAATGACTGGCTGACTTGCCCTAGCTCGGTGCGTTGGCAGGCTCTCTCAAGCGGTCTTCGTTTTCTTTTTCACCGATTGGATGTAATTGGGAACGAGACCGCACAGCCTCGCCCACACAGCGCTCACGCTCTCAACCTCTGTGGTAAGGGAAGGATCCATGTAATCTTGACCTTGGAAGCGCGAGTAGCACATCGTGGCTGAGGTGCAGAAGTCTGCGATGTCCTTGCGAATCTCCTCTGTGAAAGAGTGCCCCGGCACCTTCCATGGGGCACGCGCTGCAAGCCACCTATTCCAAACCACGTTTTGACGTTTTGCGTGCAAAAGAGGGTGAAGACAGCAAAAAGACAATTTTGGACGGAGGAGGATGAGGAGGATGAGGAGGACGTGGAGGATGAGCAGGTGGGAGGTGGAAGGTGGAGAGGAGGGGGCCACGTGGGAGGTGGAAGGAAGAGGAGGTTGACCGAATCAGGACGAGGAGGATGAGGAGGTGGAGCGGGTGGGAAGTGGAAGGGGGAGGAGGGGAGACCACAAGGGAGGGAATTGCAGCGCATATCCCATGCAGACCTCCTCGAGCCACGCTGCTGCCGCCTGGAGCTTAGCCTGGAGGGCCTCCTCGATATCCTTCATGCTGGGGCCCTCGTCCTCCGAGGGCTCTACCTCGTGAAGCTGGGGCAAGGAATCGTCAACTGGCAAGGAATCGCCAACTGTTTCTACCTGCTGAGACTCATCGGACACCCCAACTGACTGGAGGCGCCTGCCCCTTCCTTGGAAAAGGCACGAATCCGGGCCCCGAACGATGCATCTTGCAAGCTTGGACCAGACAGCTCCGAACGATACGTGTGATGGCGGCGGTCAGGTGATAGTGTAGCATGGCTACAATGTTTATGGTAATCTCGATCTTGGTGTGAGTGCTGGCAGCGATGATGATGATGATGATGACTTGTGGTGGTGAACGTAGTGATGATATCTGCGGGTCGGTGCTATGATGATCGTAACGGTAATGGTGATCGTAGTTGGGATGATCGTACTCATGTTGCTGCTGTTGCTGCTGCTGATGATGATGATGTGGCTATGATGGCGACTGCGGTGATGCCGATGGCGATGGTGCTGGCGTCGGTGATCAGCCCAATACGAGGTTGCATTTGAGTGCACTGATTCCCTCACCCCGCGAGTGGATCACACCTTTCACGTTTGCCAGCCTCTGAGCAGGAAGAGGGGGATGAGGAGGAGGACGAGGTGGATAATGAGAAGGCTTTGGTTTTACAAAATGTTCGTTCTGATTTCGAATCCATAAAAGACAGCCGATGACGATAACGAGGAGGCCTCAGAAGACGCGACGGTGATACATTTGTTGTGGCACAAGCGCCCAGCGAGCTAGCTGGCTGGAGCCTGCGCGCCCCGCGTAAGCAAAACGCAACTGAGCAGACTGTACCCACAGCGCTCGCGAACCCGATTGCTGCCTCAGCTCCCTAAAGCGTTTTTGAGCGACCATCCACGCTGCACATGCAGCGACAGTAGCCCGCTTCTTGTCGCCATGAAGCGCCATCTGGCGCTTCATCTCCTCCTTCTGGACCTTGGAGTGCAACCGTTTCTCGATTGTGGCTGGGTCGCCCGCCTGCTTCAAGCACCTCTCGATCGGATCCTCCACGAGGGGCTGCGGGGCCGCTGGTGAGCCAGCTGGCTGAGCCGCCTCCACGGCTGGAGCCAGAGCCATTTTCTGGCGGAGCCTCCTCTTCGGCTTGGCGTCGCCGCTCGGCTTGGCACCATCATCCATCGGCTTGGCGTCGCCGCTCGCTCCGCCCTTCTTCTTGTTATTGAGCGCCTTCTGCAGCTCTGCGTACTCCTTCGAAGTCGGACCGCCAGCTGATGACGACCCAGCAGTCATAGCCTCAAGCGCCTTCGCCTCGAGGAGCTTCGACGTGTCGCCGAGGACGAAAGGCTTGTTGATCGCGCTCTTCGGCGAAGCAGGCGTGAAGAGCTTGGACTCGAGATCGTCGAGGTCGACGTCCGCCTCTAGGGACAACGACGGGGAAGTCGCGGATGGCTCCTCGTCAGACAAGACAACCGTCGTCACCTCCTTCTTGACAGCGGGATACTCGACAACGTCGTCCGATTCGTCGGCACGCGCAGCTAAACCATCACCATCATCTTCATCATCATCGGCAGCCTCAACCTGGATCTTGTCGCACAGCGTGTTCAGACAGCCGTAGCTCATGTTGTTGAAGGCCAACGGCTTCCCGTGCTTGATCTGGTCGCGTTTCTTCCCCGCGAGGCTGCGGACCATCACTCGGAAATGATAGGAGGCGCGATCGACGTCTGCCCTCGACCAGTTCATGTCGCTGCCCCTCAACCACTTGTCCAACTGCTTGCCGAAAGCGTGCTGCTTTCAGTTGCGCCCTCCAGTACGCTGCAGTATTTCCGAGATCAGTGTCCTCACGCAGGTAAGCAACACCACTTGACAACATACGCTATCCTTCCTCCCCTCCTTCCGATCCTCCCCCCCTCCTTCCTATCCTCCCCTCCCTTCCCTTCCCGTTGTTCCTCCTCCTCCCTTCCTCGTTGTTCCTCCTCCTCCCCCTCCCCCCGTTCGAGTTCAGAGAAACTGTCCTGGCGCGCTTCACGGCGTCCCAGCTGCTGGTGTGCCCCTGCTTGGTGACTTTCACCTTCCAGAGCACAGGAGGCGCACACGCTGCCAAGGGAACATGGCTGGAAAGCAACTCCTGAATCACAGAGTCCTCGAGGGTTACTGCCGCGGTCCTGGTCATGATTTGAGCCCAAATGGCTACTGATGCTGCTAATTAATAATGAACAGAGACGGGTGGTGATGAATGTAACGACACATCTCCCCCGAGATGCAACGAGTATCCCAAAATGCAGGCGCAGCGGTCAATTTTGCTTCAGAAGCGCACGCCGAAGAACACAGGCCCGACGAAACCAGGCGCGTACAACCCGACGCCCCCACAAAGGGGGCTAAAGCCAGGCGTGTAGAATCCGACATCACAACACACCCAACACGATTAAAGGTTTTGTGGCATCACAACACACCCAACACGATTTAAAGGTTTTGTTATTTAGTTTCATTCTGCTTCTCTACTTTATACGGCGCCTGTGCTTTTCTAGAGACAACTCGGCCTCTGGGCTGGGACCGGCGCGGGACCCGACACCCGGGACCGGCGCGGGACCCGAGACCCGGGACTCCGGACCCGAGACCCGGGACCCGGGACTGGCGCGGAACCCGGAACCCCGAACCCAGCACGAGCGCCGGACCCGGGACCCGCGACCCGGGACCGGCGCGGGACCCGAGACCCGGGACCGGCGCGGGACCCGGAGCCCGGCACCCGGGACCCGACCGGCGCGAGACCCGGGACCCGCGACCCGGGACCGGAGCGGACCCCGGGACGCGGCCGGGACCGCCGTGGGACCCGGGACCCGGCCGGGCGCAGGACCCGGGACCCGGAACCGGCGCGAGCCCCGGGACCCAGGACCATCGCAGGACCCGGGGCCTGGGACGAGCGCGGACGCGGGACCCGGGACGAGCGCGGAACGGGGAACCCGGGACCGTCGGCGCCATCTCATCATCATCATCATCATCATCATCATCATCATCATCATCATCATCATCATCATCATCATCATCATCATCATCATCATCATCATCATCATCATCATCATCATCATCATCATCATCATCATCATCATCATCATCATCATCATCATCATCATCATCATCATCATCATCATCATCATCATCATCATCATCATCATCATCATCTTCATCTTCATCTTTATCATCATCATCATCTTCATCATCCAGAGCGCCCCGGATCGGCGGCACTGGCCGGAGGCCACTACAATACGTACGTACGTACACACGTGCATACAAACAAACATACATACAAACATACATACATACAAACAAACATATATACATACATACACACATGCATGCATGCATCCCTACCGACCTACCTACCTACCTGCATGCATGCATGATACATGCATACATACATACATACATACATGCATGCATACATACATACATACAGACATGCATGCATACATACATACATGCATACGTACACACATACATGCATACATGCATGCATGCATACATGCACGTATACAAACATACAAACATACAACTATATGTACATACGTACATACGTACAAACGTACGTACGTACATACGTACATACGTACATACGTAC